GACCATGTTGGAACACCACTTCTGGGCTCAGGAAACAAGCACTGAGCAGTGGGATCACACTGTCATGCTAGGCTGGGATGATGAGCAGTGGGTGAAAAACTTTCAGATGAGAAAAGCCACTTTCATGGGACTGTGTGATGAGCCCATTCCATCCCTGTGGTGCAAGGACAGAAAAATGAGAGCTGCTTGCCCAGTGAAGAAGTGCTGACTATTCCAGACAGCTTCTGAATGGTCATCAATTAATATGGAGTGGGACACTCAGTGTTTGGGCCCATGTTGATGTTCATGGCCATTAATCACATTGAGACAAAAGGGTTGGTGGGCTTAGTGTTAGAAGCCTTATTTTATTCTCATGTTCTTCTTTTAAGAAACTTATGCTTCTAAAATCTTGAGCAGACCAAGGGCTTTCCCCTTGTGAAAAAGAAAAACAAGCTTTAGTAAGGGCTATGCAGAATTGGGAATACCTTGTAGGGTTATCTCCAGTATTACTAAAAACCTCTCACTCACTGGACAAATATATATTAATGGGGAAAAATCAATGAAGGACATGTCTCTAGTCCCATGTTTGCAAAATGGACATTGGCACTACTAAATAAAAGCATCATTATGAAGACGCTTCTGAGTTTATCTCCAGTTCCATATGGCCTGTCAATTGAAGGGAATCAACATGAGTGTCCTTTGATGGAAACCCCTCCTAAAGGTCTGTTATACTTCCAAGGAGGGGCAAAGCTGAGTGAAGTAATAAATTTAGCAAATTTAATTTGCTTTGTGGACTGATCCAGTTTCTACAAAGAGGGCAAAGTGTACACAGGATATGCAGCAGCTGTTAAGGTACCAAATGAAGAAGTGGTCAAGGAACCATGTCTATCTCATTTGGCACAAGCTGTTGAAATAGTAGCTATCATAATGTAATTGGAGAACATCCCATGGAACGAGACTGTAGACATTTTTAAAGACTCTGATTGTGTGTTAAGAGCTATAAAAGACTGGATGCTAATATGGCAAGAGAAGGGGATGAGATCAGGAGATGAAAAACCTATCAGACACTCAGAAAAATTAACCACTTTGTGGGAATTGGCACAACAAAGAACCTCACCAGTACCAATGGGAAAAGTGAAAGCTTATAAGAAAAACATTGAAGGAGTTCAATGGAATAAAAAGGTAGATGAGCAAACTAAGGAAGGATCCCAAGGAGGGGGCAGTATGGCAACCAAAGATTCAATTAGCCTCAATAAAAAAAATAGAAGAGAAAATAGGGCAAGTGGATTTGGTGACTTTACAAAAGAGAGACCCTGAAGTCCAAAAGTTAGTATAAAAAGAAAGACATTAGGGGTGGATAATATTGACACAAGATGAGATTGGAACTAGCTACTAAGACAGAAGAAAATACGTCCGTATGGGTAGTTCCAAAAGCAGAAACTGAAATGATCTTCTTGTTACACAATAGTGGACATTTAGGAGTGGAAAAGACAATTGATAGATTACAGAGAGCTGGATGATGGCCAAGTATGAGGGCAGATGTAGAGTAATATGTGAATAATTGCCTACCTTGTGCAGCTAACAATATGGATGCCAAAATAATAAAAGGATCATTAGGACATCAGAGAATAGAAAGCCCATGGGCAAGACTACAGATTGATTTTATCGGCCCACTTGCCAAAACTGCAAGAGGGAATCAATATTGTCTAGTAATAATAGATCCTTTTACAAAATGGGTTGAAGCAATCCCTACAAAAATAACACTGCATTGACCACAGCAAGATTTCTCATAGAGCAAGTCATTACACAATGAGGAATCCCTAAAGAAACAGATTTTGATCAAGGACCCCATTTTATAGAAGAAATCACCAAGGGATTGTGTCAAGCTTTTGATATCAAGCAGGAGTTCTTGCTGACACGTCCCCAGGACAAGTAGAGAGAATAAAGAGGACAGTAAAAACTGCTCTAAGAAAAATGGTTAATCAACAAGGGAAAAGACTGCGATAAAAAACTACCTTTGATATTAATGGCCATTACAGAAACTACAGTTTCACATGGCATACCTCCATTTAATTCAATGTCAGAAAGAAACATGAGAATGCCTGAACAATGGTAGGTAACTGAAGTACTCTGGGATGAAATGATTCACTAAGCACTAAAAAATCAGTGGATACAACAATTAATACATTTTACAGAAGCACGTAAGCAAATAGCTATTTGTTCTTAAACCAAATATACAGCAGATGGATAAAAAGATGGGACCAAATTGCATCCTCAAGTACGGCAGATTGATGATAAGGTTATGTACAAGCAGTATAAAGAGTAAAACTATTAACTTAGCCCCAAGCATGTCATCCAGCTCTTTGTACAACTAGCAGGTCATGGGGACAGCTCCAGAGCACTGATTTGCCTCTTGCACCTTGTGGTAGTCATTCTGCAGCTCCTTCACTTTGACTGCAATGCAGCCTGGTCATGGCCCCTTTTGGTCATGTATTTTGATATCCACCTGTAGGAATTGTAATTCCAATGGCTGGAACACAGCTGGGACTGGACACCCTCCTCTCCTCAAGTAGAGGATCATCTGGAAAGATGCCCTGAGAACACTCTACGTGTCACCAAACAAACAGGAAGAGAACTTTCAAAATTCCCAAAGAATTTAAAGGGCAGGTCTGAGGGTTGATTCTACAAGTAGAATTCAAACCAATGACCAGAGAGATGAGAGCAGGCATTGTGGCACATGTACTGGAGGTCAGTCACAGTGCTGCAATACACCAGGGTGTCCACAATGGCCCTGTAGCCATTGCACTGATAGGTCTATGCTTCTTGTTGAGGTGGTTTAGAGCGCAGTAACTGCAGAGTTAGTGTGCACTAAGTACTTTGCCGGTGTGGAATCCTCAGGTGTTACAGTGCTGGGGGCTTATTTACTGCGCTGTTACTTGCCAGGGTAGCCAAGGCCTAAGATTCTGGCCCTTCTAGTTCCCTACTACACATTGTGGGAAATCACATCTATGACAAGTTTTATAAATACAAATGCTTCACCCATGTGAAAAAATCCATCTGAAAAATTACACAAAATGATAAATGCTTTTCAAGTCCTATTTATAGAATGTCTGCTGTTACACTATGCTCAACCTAGTCAGATTATATTATTGCTTGTCTTTGGGAGTTCCCATTCAAGTTTAAACATCTCATTTACTATGATTTTTTTTCAACAATATTTTACAATCTGTTTGATCACCCCTTTATGTGAATGAAAATCTTATATGTATAAAATATAGAGAGAGAGAGACTTTGAAAGTTATTTGAAGTGCAGGTGCAATTAATATGGGTGCCTTCCAGTGCAAAGAGACGATCAGAGTGGCAAACCAGGATTTGATGGATTAATACACCCATTACATGACTCTAAAGAGAACGAAATCATGGTGGATTAATATATCAAGTCTATTGCTCCATCCCCTATAAAAGTATAAGGCCTTGAAGCCCAAAAGACTAGTTCCTTTTAGACAGTTTCACATAGGAGGCTGTTACAGCAGCAGTTTGATCATGTTGATAATTGATGGAGAGAGAAAAACAATAACACCGAAACATACAAGATACATGGGTTCTTCTCAGATGAACCAACAGCGAGATGAAAATTCAAATAAAATGTGCAGGAAACTGTTTTGAAACATGCTTTAAAAATGGTTCCTAGAAGGAATAATGTACTCAGCAGAAAGGAGAACACATAGCTTTGTTGAAACTAGGTATACAAATATCCAAGGCAATTTTAACAAAAATCAAGTTCATACTACAACTATAGGCGACATGGCTACAGACCACAGTAAAGGTCTCATCCCCACTGTAAAATGTAACCATGTTGTGATCTTGCCTCTTGACTCAATTATACTGCAGTGTGATCAAGTCATGCTCAAGTTGACATTGCCCAGTACACTGCTACTAATAGAAACAGAGGAGAAAGTGTACTATGGCCCGGGCCTTAGAACTTTTAGTTTAGAAAGTACCCAGAGCTGGCCCGAGCCATTCTTGCACCCCCGGGTGCGTGGCACTGCTCCTGGGTATGCAGCTCATTCTTGCGCCCCGGGCCCCACCTGGCCCAGCAACACTGCGCGGTGCCCCTTACAATTGGGCACCCCGGGCTATCGCCCGGTCAGCCTGTAGCTTGGGCTGGCTCTGAAAGTACCAACGGTCCATGAAGTCCTATCACCAACTTTTGGTCAGAAGACCTAGCTGGCAGTAGAGACGGTGTCTTTTTTCTTGTGCTTTGATAGAAAACCTTGAGAAAGTAGTAGTTTCCACTTTTCTATTACATTCTACTCTGTTGCATAGTTTATTTTTTATCATCCTTCCTTACTTGGATCATATCCCTCTAAGGTGACAAACACCCTCATCCCATTCCCAGAATCATGCCCTTAGCCTTCCGGCAGCAAGATGGAGCAGCAGCCTGATTAGAATGACAGCAGACAATATGTAACTCAGGAAACTATCATAGTGCATGTCCTTGCTGTAGAAGAAGGAAATTTGAAGTTCAGCAGATAGTTACATATAAGAGTTAGGAAAATAAAAAGATACATAGGAGTTCTAAAATTTTACAAACTATCTCTAGAGGGAGCAGAGTATAAAATACAAGTATATTTGATTTATGTGCCTTTGATCATTCTTTTGTGCAACCTATCACCAGTAAGATGTGCCATCTTAGCCTTAGTGCATCCCAAATTTACTGAGACCTCTGCCTATATGGTTGACATGTGCTACCGAGTTTTGTCAACAAAAGTGGACTTTTGTCGACAAAACTATACCTGCGTCTACACTACCGCTGAGTTCTGTCGACATAACATCGACAGAACTCAGCAGTTTTGTCGACGCTGGTAAACCTCATTTTACGAGGCATAACACCTTCTGTCGACAGAAACTCTGTCGACAGAAGGTGTTATGCCTCGTAAAATGAGGTTTACCAGCGTCGACAAAACTGCTGAGTTCTGTCGATGTTATGTCGACAGAACTCAGCGGTAGTGTAGACGCAGGTATAGTTTTGTCGACAAAAGTCCACTTTTGTCGACAAAACTCTGTAGTCTAGACACACCCTAAGAATGATCCTGATCCAGTTAACCTGGTTGAATAATGAAGTCATGCTGTACCGGAGAAACAAACTAAAATATAAAAGGCATAATACAGATGCACAAACTGGTGAGGTAAAAAAACCAACTCTAAACCAAAACAAAAAACACAATTTACTAAGTCCTTAAAACTTAAACATAAACATTGCAGATGAAAAGTTATGGTCCAGAGGGTAAGTGCAATAATAATGAATTCATTTATATTAAATAAGCCTTCCAATTCTATTAGAATCTTTCTTCTTTATATACTACTTTTTGTGTCGTGAGAGATTTTGTTCATCTTTGAGCTACAACTATTTCTTGCTTCTGTCTCCATCTTTCCAGTACTGTTCAGTCTGCATTTCCGTAAGTCGCGAGATAGTCCGTTGATATGCAAAGATTTCCTCCTCTCCTGTAAACATGGACAGTCCTCCAGCTGAATCCTAGATTGATATATAAAAAACAATACAGAACTGTAAGGCATAGCATTCCATCCAAATTATACCTCTGAATGCTTTAGAGCAGTGGTTCCCAACCTTTTTGATACCAGGGACCGTCAAATCCATTCACAAACTTTAGGCGGACCGGTAACACTTATTTGCATAGATACATGTTCATTATATCAAATATGCAAATAAAATGTTACCTGTCTGCCAAAAGCCCCAGCCTCCAGAGTCCCCCAGTGCCAGCCCTAACCCCTTTAGCCCTCCCACCCCTCTACTACCTCCAGCACCAACCACTGACCTGAGCCCCCTGCTCCCAAATCCTGCAGTGCCAGCCTCCCTCCCTCAGAGCCCCACCACCACCAGACCCCTCAGTGCCAGCCTCCTGTTTCCAGAGCCCCACTGAACCCAACACCCCAGAGCCTCCCCCCATTCCCAGCCCACAGTCCCCAATATTACCCCCATCCCCAAATGCCAACCCTGTACCCACAGCCCTCCCCACTACTAGCCTAACTCCCAGAGCCTCACAGTGCCAGCCTCCTGCCTCTTAGAGCCCCTCCACAGCACTAGCCCTGCCCCCAAAGCCTACAGTGCAAGGGCAGCCCGTGAGCCTAGGCAAACTAGGCAGTTGCCTAGAGCACTGCTGGCCTCGGTGCCCGATGATGACGTCACAGGGTGCTGGGGCGCTCTGTGATGACATCACGGCCATTGACGGCCGTGCAGGTGGGGGTGCTGATAGCACTTCTGCCTAGGGCGCCAGCTGCCGCAGCCGGCCTCAAGCCACTCCTACTCCAGTGCCTCCCCACCACTCACGTAGCCCTGTGTTGTCTCCCAGCTGCCAGCTGAGCACTGCTGCCCGGGTTGTGGCTGCTCTAAGCCTGCTGTGCCAGGCTCTGCACGGCCCTCCTGCCGCGCAGCGAACTGCTTTTCCACGGCTGCGAAGAGACCCTGTGCCAGGTGATCAGCTGTATAGCGGCTTTCCCTTTGAAACTGCCACCTCTGCCTGTCTTAAAGGGGCAGCCGTGGATCCTGGGGTCAGTTGGGGACTCCCCAGCTGACCCTGGCCTCCATGCACCATTTCCCCAGAACCCTGGGTCAGCTGGAGACTCCCCAGCTGATCCCGGGTTCCAGGGAAATGTTGCGGGGAGCCCAGGATCAGCTGGGGAGTCCCCAGATGATCCTGGGCTCCATGGCTGCCCCTTTGAAAGGTGCACAGGCGGCATTTTAAAGGGGCAGCCACCACAAAGCTGATCTACACATCAGCTGTGCAGCACCTGCCCCTTTGAAAAGCCGTCTGAGGGAGTCAAAGTGGCAGTGCTGCTGTGCGGCGCTGCCACTTTGAAATACCCCTTGTGTGTGGGGGGGAATATCTACTAAGTCGACTAGTCTTTTACATCCTTAGTTTGCAGCTCGCCACCGATCTGTGGCCCTTTGATTTAGAGAGTTTTCCACGACTGCAAAGAGACCCTGTGCTAGATGATCAGCTGTATGGTGACTTCCCCTTTGAAACTGCCACTTCTGCCCAGGTGGAAGAAGTGGATGAGGCTTTTTTTAAACAACTAACAATATCATCCAAAGGCCAAGATTTGGTGGTGATGGGGGACTTCAACTATCCAGATATATGTTGGGAAAATAACACAGTGGGGCACAGACTATCCAATAAGTTCTTGGACTGCATTGGAGACAACTTTTTATTTCAGAAGGTTGAAAAAGCTACCGGGGGGAAGCTGTTCTAGATTTGATCCTAACAAATAGGCAGGAATTGGTTGAGAATTTGAAAGTGGAAGGCAGCTTGCATGAAAGTGATCATGAAATCACAGAGTTCACAATTCTAAGGAAGGGTAGAAGGGAGAACAGCAAAATAGAGACAATGGATTTCAGGAAGGCGGATTTTGGTAAGCTCAGAGAGCTGATAGGTAAGGTCCCATGGGAATCAAGACCGAGGGGAAAAACAGCTGAGGAGAGTTGGCAGTTTTTCAAAGGGACATTGTTAAGGGCCCAAAAGCAAGCTATTCCGATGTGTCGGAAAGATAGAAAATATGGCAAAAGACCACATTGGCTTAACCACGAGCTCTTGCATGATCTAAAAATAAAGAGGGAGTCATATAAAAAATGGAAGGTAGGACAAATTACAAAGGATGAATATAGGCAAACAGCACAGGAATGCAGGGGCAAGATTAGAAAGTCAAAGGCACAAAATGAGCTCAAACTAGCTACGGGAATAAAGGGAAACAAGAAGACTTTTTATAAATACATTAGAAGCAAGAGGAAGACCAAGGACAGGGTAGGCTCACTGGTCAGTGAGGAGGGAAAAACAGTAACAGGAAACTTGGAAATGGCAGAGATGCTTAATGGCTTCTTTGTTTCAGTCTTCACCGAGAAGTCTGAAGGAATGCCTAACATAGGGAATGCTAGTGGGAAGGGGGTAGGTTTAGAAAATAAAATATAAAAAAGAACACGTTAAAAATCACCTAGAAAAGTTAGATGCCTGCAAGTCACCAGGGCCTGACAAAATGCATCCTAGAATACTCAAGGAGCTGATAGAGGAGGTATCTGAGCCTCTAGCTATCATCTTTGGAAAATCATGGGAGACAGGAGAGATTCCAGAAGATGGAAAAGGGCAAATATAGTGCCCATTTATAAAAAGGGAAATAAGAACCACCCAGGAAACTACAGACCAGTTAGTTTAACTTCTGTGCCAGGAAGATAATGGAGCAAGTAATTAAGGAAATCATCTGTAAACATCTGGAAGGTGGCAAGGTGACAGGGAACAGCCAGCATGGATTTGTAAAGAACAAATCGTGCCAAACCAATCTGATAGCTTTCTTTGATAGGATAACGAGTCTTGTGGATAAGGGAGAAGTGGTGGATGTGATATACCTAGATTTTAGTAAGTCGTTTGATATGGTCTCGCCTGATATTCTTATCAATAAACTAGGCAAATACAACTTAGATGGGGCTACTATAAGGTGGGTGCATAACTGGCTGGATAATCGTACTCAGAGAGTAGATATTCATGGTTCACAATCCTGCTGGAAAGGTATAACAAGTGGGGTTTCACAGGGGTCTGTGTTGGGTCCGGCTCTCTTCAATATCTTCATCAACGATTTAGATATTGGCATAGAAAGTACGCTTATTAAGTTTGCAGATGATACGAAGCTGGGAGGGGTTGCGACTAATCTGTAGCATAGGGTCATAATTCAAAATGATCTGGACAAACTGGAGAAATGGTCTGAGGTAAACAGGATGAAGTTTATTGAAGACAAATGCAAAGTGCTCCACTTAGGAAGGAACAATCAGTTTCACACATACAGAATGGGAAGTGACTGTCTAGGAAGGAGTACGGAAGAAAGGGATCTAGGGGTTATAGTGGACCACATGCTGAATATGAGTCAGCAGCGTAATGCTGTTTCAAAAAAAGCAAACATGATTCTGGGATGCATTAACAGGTGTGTTGTGAGCAACACACGAGAAGTCATTCTTCCACTCTACTCAGAGCTGGTTAGGCCTCAGTTGGAGTATTATGTCCAGTTCTGGGCACCGCATTTCAAGAAGGATGTGGAGAAAGTGGAGAAGGTCCAGAGAAGAGCAACAAGAATGATTAAAGGTCTAGAGAATATGACCTATGAGGGAAGGCTGAAAGAATTGGGTTTGTTTAGTTTAGAAAAGAGAAGATTGAGGAGGGACATGATAGCAGTTTTCAGATATCTAAAAGGGTTTCATAAGGAAGAGGGAGAAAACTTGTTCATCTTGGCCTCTGAGGATAGAACAAGAAGCAATGGGCTTAAACTGCAACAAGGGAGGTTTAGGTTGGACATTAGGAAAAAGTTCCTAACTGTCAGGGTAGTCAAACACTGGAATAAATTGCCCAGGGAGGTTGTGGAATCCCCATCTCTGGAGATATTTAAGAGTAGGTTAGATAAATGTCTATCAGGAATGATCTAGACAGTATTTGGTCCTGTCATGGGCGCAGGGGACTGGACTCAATGACCTCTCAAGGTCCCTTCCAGTCCTAGTATTCTATGATTCTATGACAGTTAAATAATACAGGACAGTCAACAGTTCAGGGTACCAAAAGGGAAATAAAATGTAAACATCCTCAAACTAATGTTAACAGGAGCAGCCCGAGGCTGGCTGCGGCAGCTGGTGCCCTAGGTAGAGGCTCTATTAGCTATCAGAGGCGCTATTATACGGCCATCAATGGCTGTGACGTCATCATTGGGCGCCCGGGCCAGTGCTCTTTAAAGATTAAGCTGTCATTTGGTACCATTATTTTCTATTTCCTATCTTTATTTTTCTTTGTAACCATTTTTAAAAAAAGCCCTCATTCACTTATAAAATATATATATATTGAACCAAGTTTCTTTTATTTTATTTTCTCTTTCTTTCTTCTATAATAAGCCAGTGAGTGTCAAGCTTCTGACTTGAACCCGTGCTGCTGTACCCGAACCGAACACAAACAAAAGAACTTCAGCCGGTCAAAGGGACAGGTATAGGGAGAGCTTGGGCGTTTGGATTGTGTCACTCCCCGGTGGCAGATCCATTGGGGCACTTCTCAGACTTTCCCTAAGGCTGCCCGCTGCGAAGGAATTGCGAATTCTAGCAGCTGAAATCTAAGGTGTTATAAGCTCTCTCTGTAAACTCATTGGGCGCCCGTCAACCTCCTCCAGGTTGCCTGCTGCAAGGGACCCCGGTCCCAGCAGTTGAAGTCTCGGGTGTATAGCACATACACACTGCCCTGACCGTCGGCTGACACTGCTAAAATATGGTTCTTTCCTTAAAGTTAAAATATTCTTTCCTTAAAGTTAAATAAATACAAATGTTAAGTAATCCCAAACCCTAGGTGAATTTAAGCAGGCAAAAGACAGGCAATACTTTTGGGGGCCAGTATTGCTTGCTTTGTGTACACTGTAATGCACATGCCCAAAAACTTAATTCATTGCAGTCATCCAAAAATGCAACAATCCCAGAAAAATTTCCTAGTTGGATTGAGCTAGTTAAAAATTATTTAAAAAACTATTAGCAACTGTAATAAAATAACTTCGGAATATTCCTGTGTAACCATTACAAATTTATTAGGTCCAACTCTGACCAATAACCAGTGGACAGATTTGTAAGGTAGCCCTTCATCTTTACAGAGAGATGCAACTGGCAACTTATTTGTAATTTCCATTTGTTAAACACAGTGAGTTAAACTGATGCCTGGTGCAACTCCACTGAACTCACTGAAGTTACATAAGGGTGAAGCTTGGGTTGGTATTTTTATAAATTGTTGAGTAAATACCTGGAATATTAAGATATAAAATAATTAACAGATTTATGCAAAATGGATCCATATAAAAGTGATACCTGTGCTGCATGGATTCTACTACACAGTAGCAAATCATCAGTTAAATATTTACTTCATTCATTCTCCTGCAATGATGCCTTGATATCAGACCAAAAACAATTATGCTCTCTTGTAACAAAAGGAGATGATGTTGATAACACTCACCAGGCTCAACCCCAAATCATCCATCAGTATTCTGCTTTCCTGTAGTCCATTGTGATGTTCTAGCAGAAACAAGTTTTGGAGAGGTGTCAATGCAGAACAAATAATACGTACCTGAAATAGGGGGAAAGATGTATTGGCACCATAGCTTGTGTATTACATACATCTTTTATGGAAAAAGTTTAAAAATTTAATTTTGTTTTCCCAAGTATCTTTCTTAAGTTTCACCTGCCCACTAGCACTGCAGCTATATGGATTTATTATTTAGTCATTTGTGATAAATCAGTAAATAATTATATTAACTTTAATTAATCAGGTCTTTTCTGAATAACAACTTGCAGACCTTATATTCTCAGGTCAGGGTGGCAGCCACTTTCTCCTCTGAGCAATCCATTCAGTAGGATCCACAATCAGTAGGAATGGATCCATCTGTGTCACCAGACCCTCAGAATATTTGCTATCTGAGATAAACTTTACCACTGAAATTTACCTTTTTAAATACACACTATGAAAATGACTAGAAAATTATGGATACTCACTTATTAGAGTTGCACTAAGAGTGTAAATCATTCAGAACATTCCCATCAACTGAATGGTTAAGGAATATGAAGTCTTTTTAAAGTTCAGTTTTGCCACTTCATTTTGGACCCATAAAGTTCAAGTGAGTTACATTTTAGCTTGAGTTATATCTTCACTACAGTTTAATAAGATTATTACGACTGGAATAACTGTTTTCAGATTTGATTTGAAGATATACTGCATACAATGAAGTACCAGTATCCCTATGAGGTTTACCATAGAAACATACTATAATATTACTGTGACAATGTACAGTATATTGACAGAACCCAGAGAAAAGAGATCTATTGCAAATTGGTATCCACAAATATTTAGTTTTACAATGATGGAAAAAAATACAATTCACTACAGATTAAGTTTTAACTCTGTGACCTTTTTAGATTATTTTTCCAGAGGATTATTTGTAGAGTAAATAAAAAGAATGTTGTTTAATACTCATTCTTCATGATCACCTGATGTCTTTCTTAGAAATGCTATAAAGAGGTAACAGATTGTAAAAATATGTACTTCTGATTTTGTTACCTCAGCCCTACTAAATACATATTTCTAAGACACTGTATTTAGTCCCAGTTCAACATGGTATTTAAGCAGGTCCCTATCTTAAAGCACAGGAATAGTCCAATGAGACTACTCATGTGCTTAAAAGTTAGACAGGTACTTAAGTTTCTTGGTGAATCACAGTATTTATGATCATCTTGAAAAAGACTGATATCTCAATCGATATTTCCTGATTACATAAATATTTCAGTGTGTGCAGATATAATCACACAAAGGACGTAACTTAATATTTTCACTATTTTTTTAAATGATCAGCTTAAATTTTGTTTTTTAGTGCTGATTTTGCTTCCCATGATTCAAACCTTTGTAAATCCAAGTGCTGCATTTATCATTACTATTCCATCAGCAGCACTGCAACCTGATTTAAAATCTACAATCTTCTAACGTTAATATCACATTTTAACAAATATATTAACACTTTACACTCACTTATTCCTGACTGGCAGTGCTAACATGCCAATGGTCGCTTCCAAATTAAAATCATATAGCACAAGCAAGCTCCAGAATACTCAGTGGCATATTTTTTATTTACTAGAATGACACCACCAACCATTGAATTGTTTATTTCCTGATTCAGGAAAACATCCCTATTCAGGAAGGACATATAAAGCCATACTTACATTTAAACACATGTTTAAGTCCCATTGAAATCAGTGCTTAATTGCTTTCATGAACTGAGGACTTTATATGCAAACATTCTGAAAGAGAAGGTTGCTCACTTTATGCAGTAATGGAGGGTCTTCAAGATGGTTGTCCCTGTGGGTGCTCCACCTCAGGTCTTGAGGCATTGCTGTGTGCCTAGTCAGTTTTACAGCAGCAGTGCCTTCTGGTAGGCCACGCAGGCAAGGCAGGCGGCATGCGCGGCAACTGTCCCCTCAGTTCCTTCTCTGCCCTGGAAGGACAACGATGAGTCAGAAACAGAGGGGAGAAAGGGTGGGTGGTGGAACACCCACAGGGACAACCATCTCAAAGAACCTTCGTTACTGCACAAAGTGAGTAACCTTCTTTTCTTCTTTGAGGAGTGCCCCTGTGGATGCACCACCTTAGGTGACTATATAGCTTAATAGGAGGTGGGTGATTCGGCTAAATATTGTGTCGAGCTTTGGTGAGGACTGTGTGTTCAAATTCAGGGCCCCATTTCAGGTAAGCCTCCAGGGCGTAATGTCTGGTGAAGGTGTGTGCAGAAGACCAGGTTGCAGCTCTGCAAACGTCTGTGAGAGGAATACTGCTAAGGTAGGTCATAGAATCCACCTGGAAAGTCTCTGCATAGGGATTTGCATGCCCCAAGATCTTTCAGCAGTGGAGATGAAAAGTCTATTAGTTTTACGAATTAACCTTGTCCTTTCCAAATAGAAGGCAATTACGTGGCACTTGTCAAGCGTGTGCCATTTAGCTTCCTCAGTGGTGGTGTGAGGCTTTGGGCAAAAGATGGGTAACACCAGAGGTTTGTTGCAATGCCAGGAGGTAAGTACCTTTGGTAAAAACTTTGGATGTGGCTGACGTAAGCATTACAAACTTAGCAACCTTCATCGAGAGGTGCAACATTGAACATGTGGCCATAGGCTCGAATGGTGCATGAGTAAGGGCTCATAGTATGAAGCTTCAGTCCCAGGCTGGGACTGTTTTGAATGCCTTTTAAGAAGCGTTCAGTCGTGGGGTGGGTGAAGACCGATTTGTCTTCGATGGATTGGTGGAATGCAGTTATGGCTGCAAGGTGCACCTTTAATGAGTTGAGAGAGAGACCTGAATGTTTTAGGTGTGAAAGGTACACTAATATATCACCCAGTGGATTCATGGATGGATCTGCTGATCTTTGGCTCGCCCAGAGAATCTTCACCACATGTATAGGTAGGATTTTCTTGTTGTGACTCTGTGACTACTTATTAAGATCTGTCTGACCTGATCTGTAAGTGTGGCTTCTATTGAGGTGAGCCTGTGAGGAACCATGCTCAGAGGCGAAGGATGTAAGGAGATGGATGCCGGATGTGACCCTCTTGCTGAATCAGGAGATGAGGAACTGTCGGGAGCTGCCAGGGAGGTCTTATGGACGTATGATCTGTACCATATGTCCTTACTGTACTGTAACATACCGTACCAGGTCTGGCAGGGCCATGCTGGAGCAATGAGTATGACTGATGCTGTCCCCGCTCTTATTTGTTGACCACCTGGTGAAGAAGAGGGGTTGGCGGGAAGGCATATAGAAGGGTGTGCGTTCAAAGGTATTGTGAAGGCATCCCCCAGAGAGTGTGAGCCAATGCCCACACATGAACAATACTGTAGACAGTTCTTGTTTGCAAAGGTTGCAAATAAGTTGATCGTTGGGAATCCCCAATGTGTGAATATCGTGTGCAGTATGTTGTCGTCCATTTCCAGT